AGCAGCTGTCGGGGCGGCGACGCGTGCCGATGCTCGCGTTCACAGACAGCGGCAAGATCCCGTTCCTGCGGTTCAAGAAGCAATCGCCGTACCTGTCGCGGGTGCTGCGGCAGAAGGTGGAGACGAGGGTGCGGCACCGGACTTTGTTGGTCACTCAGAAGGAGGATATTGAGACAGGGTCGATGGAGTGCGAGTGGGAGAGTCTTGTGTGTGATGAGTTAGAGCGCGAGGGGAAGGAGTGGGACGATCCGGATTGGGGCACTGATTCGATGGCTTGGGTGAGCGAGCCGATGGAGGGCTTGGAGAGGACTAAGTCGGCCATGTCGGCGGATAATAATAAGGCTGCTGTGGATTATAAGCGGATGGTGGATATTGTGAACCAGGAGAGGGTGCTGTGGGAGCGTGAGGGAAGGGAGAGGAGGCATGAGAAGAGGGAGGCGAAGTGGGCGGTGAAGAAAAAGAGGTGGGCGAGGGAGGCGGAGGAGTTGAAGATAAAGCAGGCAAAGACGGCTAAGGATTGATAGTGGGATACGTGGTTTACATTGCCAGCACAAAAGGGAAATGGGAATGGGGAAGTGTAAGAAATGGTATTATACGGCGTTTGGGATATACCATAATTGCACCTTCAGCGAGCTGTTCATGCATACAATATATAAATGTTGTGTAAAGCATTGCATTGCATTTCATTCATTTCTCATTTACTGCAAAGAAAGCAGAGCCGCAGAACCGTGAGACCCTGTTTCGCCGCGCTGATGCACCCATAACCGACCGCCATAAGAAACATGTATTGTTCCCTTATTCTTCCCAAGGCAAATCGTGTGAGACTGTCCCACCAAGAGATGTTCTCCTTTCTCACCCATCTCAATAAACATAGAGCTACTTCTGAATTCCAAATCATAGCAAGTCACTGCCACCTAATACGTAGAACCCTCCGCTGGTTGTGGCAGCTTCTTATGGTTAGGGTGTGCCATATATCTCCTCAATTCTATCAGGATAGTCTCCATGGTGTTGCTGTACTTCCAGTCGCTAAGGCACGGCAGCTTGGATGGGTCGACCTATTTACCAAACCGTCAATATCTACTTCCACAGAAAGCAAAAGAAGCTGTGTATACACGTACCACGCCATTCTTCGGGTTGACACACGGCAGGTTGATCTGGTTCTGGAACTTGATGGTCGGTGGCTTGTCTGGGTATTCGGCACCGCAGTGCATGGTCAAGGAGTAGATTCGGTTCTCGTGGACGCTCTGAGAGGGGATAGGGGTTAGTATAGGAGGCTGCAGGAGGGAGGGAGGGGTGGGCACATACGTGGGGAGGACCTAAGATTGTGCCGTTCCAGTTGGACATCAGGAGATCGTCACCTTCAGTAAGACCGTACGAGCATGCCTCTATGATAGTTAAGTAATTTGCGGTTGCACGTATCGAAGGGGTCGTGCTCACCAGCTCCAAGACCCTTCTCTCCCTTCTCCAACTCCTCCAGTAATCTGAAGTTGCGTGGTACTTTAGCTCCCATCTTGCCGGTTGTGTATTGTTGTTGTTATTGTTGCAAGTATTAAAGTTTTTGGAGAAGAATGTGTTGATGAACGATCAGTCCTTTCGTAGACGTTGAGCAGCAATAAAGTTGAGGTACACAGCAGGAAAACGATGATTCAGAAAGTCGATGGAGGGGAGGGGAGGATTGGAGGGGCAGGAACAAACGTCAAGGGCATCGGCGAAACACCGGTGAATTGCCTCAAGGCCACATCCACCTCCTCCAAAAGGGATCACAACGGACTCGCTCTCAGCTTTCATAAAACAATTGATCATGGATATATTGAGCCTAAATTCATAACATGACGGCCCAGATCCTCACTTCAGAGCTTACCAATCTGATACAGGAGAGTAAAAGGAAGCATACGGATCTGAGAAATGTGAGCTTACGTACCCACGCGTCCAAATACCCCTTACTAACAATTCAAGGCCGCTGAAAAGTCTCTAGATGAGCTCAAAGGCCTACGATCAACTTCTGAAGCTCAAATAGCTGCGGGTAAGTCTTCACGTTTACAAGCAATATAGGTTGACTAATTCAGTGCAGATCTCTCTCAACGTCCTAATTTCGTGACACCGTTCCTCATTGCATGCGGGACCAAGAATGTCAAGTTTACGGGCATTGCGATTGTATGCTTGCAGCGACTTATTGTATCCCATGCTCTTCCGAAATCAAGACTAAGGGAAGTACTTGAGGCGTTGAGGGAGGCTACTTCTGCTGGACTAGATGTCCAGCTCAAGATCCTCCAAGCTTTACCTTCTCTTCTCCAAAACTATGCGGATGATCTGAAGGGAGAACTTCTTGCGGCCGCGTTGAACATATGCACAATTCTTCAGGCGAGCAAGAATGGCATTGTCAACAACACGGCGGCTGCGACTCTGCAGCAGCTTGTTGTATCTGTGTTTGACAAGGTTGTGACTGAAGATAGTACGTCCTCTGTCAGAAATGTGATTATTGCATATCTAATACGAGAACAGGGATTGCCCTTGAAGTTCCCACTATTGGCGAAGCCCCCGTTGAGGATGGAACCGTACAACTTCGCGCGGCGGCTCTGGATGCGTACCGGGTCTTCAACGACTTGTGTCTTCTGACAGAGTCCCAGAAACCGCAATTCCTAAGGTCCACGGGCATGCCTCAGACCTTTGGTCTGGAGCTAATTGAGTCTGTTTTGACCAATCATTCGGACATATTTTTAACGCACCCGGAGCAAGCCAATGTCCTTCGTACCAGGGTCATGCCGTTCATTATCAGTTCCCTGTCCGAAAAGCTCAATTTTGCAGTCACTGTCAGAATTGTAAGGATTCTATACACCCTGCTTAGACGACACCTCAGCATCCTTTCATCTGAAGGTGAGATGGCTTTGGGTCTCCTTACGCACATGCTTGACCATGATACTGCGTTGTGGAAGAGGTCTCTGTGCATGGAAGTTCTGAGAGGCATTTTTGCTGACGCAGCGCTCATACGTCGAATATTTGCAACATACGATGCTCAAGAAGGCCGGAAAGCAATTCTAAGAGACCTTGTTGCAGCTTTTGTACGCATTAGTACCGAAAAGCCAGCCGTCATCGGCCTTGGTAACCAGTCTACTATACCAATGTCAAATCAAAGCGGGGGAACAGACCAAGGAATGCTCGAAGCAAGTGGTGTCCCTTCGATGATAAGCAGTTCAATTAGTTCGAGTGAGCCCTCCGCTGGGGTCAGCACTCAATGGAGTACGATGAGAGTTCCGTGCATTGATCAGCTCGACAAGACGGATCCACCCTTGATCCCGGAATCATATATCTACAGCCTCACACTTGCTTGCATAAGTGGCTTCTCTGAAGGTTTGGCGAAGTTCATTCTTCCTTTGACAGTTCCAGAGAGACCTCGAAAAAAGACAGCAAAGCAAGCAGAAACCGAGTCAGCGCCTGAGACTCCTGACAGTCGACCGAATCTGGATAGGCGATCTTCCACTAAGAAGAACCCAGTCCCAGTCAATCCACTAAGTCTCGAAGATCATCCCCTTTTCGACGACGTGAAAATATGTGCTGGAATTGTAGATGAATGCTGGCCTGCGATACTTGCGACTTGCTCGACATTTTTGTATGCCTCACTCGATTCAGACTATTATCATAGTCTGGTTAGATCTTTCCAAAAGTTTACTCATGTAGCCGGCCTTTTACGTCTTGCAACTCCTCGAGACGCCTTTCTGACCACTCTTGGAAAGGCGGCAGTTCCTCCAAATCTACTATCTACAAATACTAGCCAGACGACCGCACCAGCCACTCCTCCTGTAGAAGGTTCGAGTATGTTTAGCAATGCAAGGGGTTTGCTGAGTGTCGACAGCCTGGTCAGCCAAGCTTCTTCCTCTATATCGGAGCGCGGAAGACAAAATTCCATAGAATCAGGCCCAACGTCTCTCAACACTCGGAATCTCCTGTGCCTACGAGCACTTCTGAACCTAGGCATTGCACTCGGCCCAACTTTAAGCTCAGCGTGGGGCATCATCCTGGGTAATTTACAAGAAGCTGACTTAGTCCTCTTCTCAAGCACGAAGTCTGCGAGGACTCCGACCATAACCCCAAAGTCCGACAAACAAAATGCTGGTGACGACTCTTCATTGCTTGTGAACTTCGGCACTGAGATTAAAGCTGTTGAGACAGCTGCTGCAAGACTTCTCGAGAGCACCGTTGACTTTCCGAATGAGTCATTCTTAGAAGTCGTGACCGCGCTTTGCTCACTATTCGGAAGACAAGAGACTCCACAGCTGGTATCTAATTCTATTAGTCCTTCATCTCCTCAGTTGGAAGCACGACGACCCTCAGTACACGCGTACTCGCATAGAAGAATACAAAGTATCAATACTGCGCCCGCTACCCAAAACCAAGAAGATCTGTTTGCTTTGGCAAAACTGGGCGATGTTGCTAGTATCAACATTGATAGGTTTATGGCCTATAGTCCTGATGTTAGTGGCTGGGACGTCCTGACTACAGAAGTTAGCAAGGCAGCCTGTTCTACTACTACTCCCGCATCGGTCAGATTACGAGCTGCAGAGATCATTGTACGACTCGTCCTTGAATCCGCGACTGCAACACTTTCATTACCCGATGAACCTCGTAGCACAATTCAGTTGCGTCTCCTTCAAACTTTCAGGGGAGCATTGCAGCCGCTCGAGTCAAATGAGCGTGATTCATCTGTATCGACTCATGCCACAGATATTGACGTACACAAAGTGATTCTTGAGGGTCTGAAAAGCATTCTGGAACAGTGTGGGGAGACCTTAATCAGCGGCTGGGATATTGCTTTCGAGATAATCGGAAGTGTATTTGTCAAAAATGGCAACGATCACGAGCTCAAGGCCACCACCACTCGTTCATCTCGATTGATTCGATCCTCATTTAACTCTTTGCAACTCATCTGCTCGGATTTCCTCTCCTCCCTTCCCAATTACTGTTTCATTATACTCGTTGACACCCTTTATCATTTCTGCACGCAAGACGACGACCTTAACATATCTTTGACGGTGAAAAAATCTTGCTTATTTCCTTTTATCCGACATACTGACGTTTACAGACTGTAACATTCTTCTGGGTGTTGTCCGACTTCATCTCTGGTCGGACTAGCTCGTTTTCGTTGACTCACAACCTTATCCAGGGTTCTGACGAGAAAAAGCTTGTAGAGATGGCATCTGGAAAGGACCTGGCAATCTCTGATGCTGCGCTATGGATGCTTTTGCTTCTACGGCTGACAGCTGTCACGACGGATGAGAGACTAGAGCTGAGGAACAGTAATACTTTACATTGTCGTTAGCAAGGAACCCGCTGACCGTTGCTACAGGTGCCATACAGACGCTGCTCAGGATTTTCGATGCCTACGGAGACCAGCTTGGCCCAGAAGCATGGTCAATGTGCCTGCAGTCCGTCATTTTCAAGCTTCTTTCATCAATTGAAGAACAATTAGTGACGACGAGTGACCCTGAATCTGAGATATCAGATAAAGATCGAATTGGATGGAATGAGACTACAGTTGTTGTGCTTAATGGTATCACGAAACTACTAGCGGATTACCTAGATACTATATCTAGCCACCCGACGTTTGGGGAATCATGGGAAGCTCTGATTGAGCATTACAAGTCGCTGTTAAATTTCAAAGTCCTTGATATTAACACCGCAGTCTTTGATTCGCTGCGACAGATACTTTCGAGGGGCAACCTTGAACAGTCGAAGAAGACAGACTTCGATCGAGCTGCACTTGACTTGGCATGGGAACTCTGGTCTCAATCTCTGCCTGCTGTTGTACCCGACCCCTCAGATAAGAGATTTGACAACCAGAAGTTCTTGGTGGCATATGTCTCTGCACTGCAAGAGATCTACCGTCTTATACAGTTAGGCCTCAATGCCAAACGAGTGCAAAGAATGCTGACGCTACTTCGAGAAGCGATTCAACAAGCGAGCGCAGCAACGTACTCTGCAGATATTGAATACCTTACGCCATTGCAAACTCAAGTCCTAGAAGCTCTTAAGATGATCCGGACCGATATTGAAGGGGTTCCTGCGGCATTGATCGGCCAGGTATCGGAGTTCGTTGGTCTTGCGTTTGATGAAAGGGATACCAGTCCTGCAAAACAGCGTCCAACCTATGTCGCCCTGTCCAAAGCATCAATGAATTTAACAGTGAACCTCGTCCTTTCCCATTCATTGGACCACGGTATCTACACGAGTGGGGCGTTGACATCAGCTCTGACAGCACTCTCAAGACCAATCGTCCTCAAATACTCCTTCCCCATTACCACAAAGAGCGTATCACCCTGGCGCCAAGCAACAACATCCTCTCTCGCCATCTTAGCCGCAGTACTACCTGTTCTCACCAGGGCCAATCTAAAAGAAGACGTAATTCGCTCAATCTGGGCCTCAATCGTTACGATAGGCAATGCCATAACCACAGCTGACTGTTCCGATCTCGCCCCCACAATCGACATAAAGGCGGACCAGGACTTCGACATAACATGTTTCCTGACCTTGCGCGCACTCATTACCCCAGCTCTCGGCTCACCGGTCATCCCGGACAAAACAAGACGCATATACACCGAATCCCTCTTTCACACTTCTCTAGTCCACGCCCCTTCCCCTACCGACCTCCCCCCGAAGCAAAAACCCCACGACATCCTCTCCATCCTCTCCGCCCCCCGCAAAGGCTCTACAATCGACCCGCCCCCAACTCCCCGCGCAAGTATATCCTACATCTGCCTCTCCACGCTCCTCTCCCTCGTATCCCACCATTCCTCTTCTGCCGCGGAGATCAAGCTTGCACAAGCAGCCGCACCCTACCTAATCCTGCGCGCAGGCCTGACGCTGAGAGCTTATATCGCCGATCAACCACTTCGAGGATGCATGCCGCAGCCGCTAAGCCAGAGGAAGGAGCTGCTGTTCGTGTTGCGGGAGTTGGTGGCGTTGAGGTGTGAGACAGAGGCTATTCCTGAGGCGGACGGGGTGGAGAGTGAGGGCCGACGGCATTTGTTTAGGTTGTATCCGTTGCTGGCACGGGCGGTAAGGGCTGCAGGGAGGGATCAGGAGGTGTTGGAGTGGCTTGGGAGGGCGTTGGATGAAATTGGGGGGGAGTTTGGGGTTTGACGTGGTGGTGGTGGAAGCTTGATCTGTTTTATTTTACATTTGTATGAGTAAGGAATAGAAGAAGACTACTTCAGTGCTTTGCAGGACGTCTTGCTGGACACTTAGATGGGTTTGTGGTTGACTGATTTGAGATTATATTTGTACTTTTTTTATACCGCTACATGAGCTTACTGGTATTGAAAGAAGTGAGTTTTCGCCTCTATACTTATACGGAGTGATGCCTCCACCCTTAACATAATAGATGATACATGCCGCTTCTGTCCACTTGCTTCGCTATTGTACAATTTTTATTTTATCCTATGTTGTTTCCTCACTTCTTCTGTCTCGTAGCCTCGAACGAGCTCAACATGCTCCGCTTCATCTCATCGTTCGGGGACTCCCTTGCTGGTTTCTCGACTTCTTCCGAAGACTGGTGCTCCAGTGCCTTCGCAGCCATGGTCTTTGCCTGCGCATCTCCTACTTTGCCATAAACGGCCATAGCACTAGCAATCATGCTTCCGATATCCCCCACATTGCCAGGCACAACCACAGCCGTGCCCTCCTTAGCAAGATTGCCGAATGCATCCACATATTTCTCTGCGACGCTGAGACTGACAGCACCCTGAGCAGACTCTTGTCCCGTAGCAATACTCTTAGCCACAGCATCAATACCACCAGCAGTAGCCTTGGCCTTTAACAGAATAGCCTCCGCCTCACCAGTCGCCATGTTAATCTGCTCGCTCTTCAGCGCCTCAGAAGCAAGAATAACGCTCTGCTTTCGCCCCTCTGCAATATTGATAGCGCTCTGTCTCTGACCCTCGGAGTCCAAGATTTCGGCTCGTTTGCTTCGTTCCGCGGTCACTTGTCTGTGCATAGCGTCTACCACGCCTTCCGGAGGATGAATGTCTCTAATCTCGTATCGTAGACAGGTGACACCCCAGTCTTTGGCGGCTTCGTTGAGTACGTTCGTAATATTTGTGTTGAGGGATGCGCGCTCTTTGAGGACGTGATCGAGTGTTAGCTGACCGATTTCTGAACGCATGGTTGTTTGGGCCAGTTGCGAGATGGCGTATTCGGCATCTTCGACTCCGTAACTGATGGTAGATTAGTATCGCTATTGCAGATATACTGCCAATTATAATGGCAGAGAGAGAGAGAGCCTTACCTAGCTTTATATGCGTCGAATACTCTGGTATATAGAACTCCATCCAGGTCTAGAGTAACATTGTCTGCTGTAATAGCGCTCTGGCTTGGAATCTCAATCGCAGCCTCCTTCAAGCTCTTCACATATGCTATCCGATCGAGAAAGGGTACCAGAATAGCTAAACCAGGCGCAAGAATCCTGTTGAACTTTCCCATACGTTCCACAATCCATGCTGTCTGCTGGGGCACGAATCGAATAATGGTATTGGCAGGAAGGGAGGGCCGTTGGAAATATGTAGTCGGTCCATTTGAGCTACCACCTATCCCCAACAGACCTGAGCTTGGAGCGGAGGCTCTTGGAGTAAGGTGTAGTTGTCTACTTTGAAGGGCAGACAGTCTTGAAGTCTTTGATTTCGAGAGGTGTCGTATGGCCAAGGTGGCGGATGGCATGCCTCTGTTGACCATGCCAGGACCATTTAAGGCCATACGAGAGGCTGCTTGCAATGCCATTACGAGAAGGTCAAAACTGTGGTGCGAGGTTCTTGTTGTGTTCTCTGTAGCTCTCTGCCTTGTCAGCAGGCCGCGGTCGAGGCTAAATTTTGGTACGCGAGGCAATCATGAGGCCTGAATCGCGCCTTCCCAAACTACAGTATTCACTGCATTGTACAACCCTGCCCATCAAAGCGCCTGCATGCTAGAATTAATTTCTTAAATCGTTCTCCCGCATCCAAGCTTATTTACGCACAATATCCTCGAACGTACAGTCTACGTTACGACGAGGGATATCGAGGGGCGCAAGCTGACAGGAGGTCAAGATGTCCGAATACTGGAAATCTACCGTGAGCGATCTTCCGGAGTTTTTCAAAGGGTACTGCTAATATTTATATAGCCCAAATACTGGTGCAAGCACTGCAAAACTTATGTCCGGGACACGAAGCTGGAAAAGACAAACCATGAAGCCACTCCAAAACATCAAGGCAACCTCAAGCGCTTCCTGCGAGACTTACATCGAGGCCACGAGAAAGAAGAAAAGGACAAGGATCGCGCAAAGTCAGAGGTAGCACGACTGAATGGATTAGTTGCAGGTGAAGGTTCTGGGTCTGGATCTGGATCTGGGGGAAGCTATTCAAGTTCGGGATTCGGACGAGGGCCTACACCTGTACCGAAGCCACAAGCTACAGCTGGACAGAGAAAACAACAACTGGCGCAGCTGGCAGAAATGGGTGTTAGTATACCGGATGAGTTTAGACCAGATATGGCTATGGCTGGAGAATGGCAGGTCACTGCGGAGCGAATTGTCGAGACGGACGGAGAGAAGAAACCCGAAGCAATTGCTTTGGGAGTAAGGAAACGGACGGTCGAGGAGGATGAGGAAGAAGCCAAAGAAGCTAAGAGGTTGAGATGGGGTTCGAGATTCAAGACACATCCGGCGGAAGAAGACACCGATGATTTGGATGCCTTATTGGCCAATGCTACAAGGAAGGATGCAGTACCTGCTGTTAGTATTGAAGTTAAAGAGGAAGTCAAGCAGGAGGTCAAGGAGGAAGCCGACGGCGATATACCAAAGGTTGGGGAAGTCAAAAAAGAAGCATCAGATGGAGATACCAAGATCACCGAAGTTATCCCGCCTTCAGATGCCATCATCAAACCTGAGGGAGAGGAGGGCGCTCCTGGCGTTGTGTTCAAGAAACGCAAGGCCAAGAATATTCGACAAAAATGAATAAAAAACAAAAGTTAGTTCCCCCTTTTGCTTACCAACTTCTACATACGTGGTCTTTATCTATTACCAATAACGTCCTTTGACTCGGCTTTACGAGTATATCTTGTAACTGTCTTATGTCCTTCGGAAAATTTTTCCTTAGGCGTACAGGCAGGGGCGCACGATTATCCCTGACAGTGGCTGCCGGCTAGAGGGGCAAGTACCCCGCTGTGCCTCCGCTGGGCACTGGAGCAGTGACATAAGTGCTGTGGGTCTAGAATTGGACCGGATTATTAAGAGTCGAATGATGCTACTGTAGAGATGGCGTAAAAGAACTGACATCCACATGCATTTGTCAGGCAGGTCATGAAACTAAGTTTCCTTATAAGCAAGTACCTATATGAGTAGAAAATTCCGTACTCGGACGGCTTCCTTACATTCTTCGAGACAAGCGCTATTTACCGAAACCCATCCATCTTGACTTCAAACATTTACTACATTAACGCGCTACAACATGAAGGAAGCAATTGTCGCAAAGGGTCCAAAGGTCACAATCCACGATGTCCCTGTCCCGAAACCAAATGCGGACCAGGTTCTGATCAAAGTAATCTACTCTGGGTCGAACCCCAAAGACTGGAAGTTACCGGAGATGGGCAACACGCACAACTCTGGCGATGATATTGCAGGTCTCGTCGAGGCAGTTGGTGAAAATGTTACCGAGTTCAAAAAGGGAGATCGAGTTGCTGCCTTTCACCAAATGGCGGCCCCCAATGGAAGCTTTGCTGAGTACGCAATTGCATGGGACCACACAACCTTCCATTTGCCAACGAAGACCAGTTTTGAAGAGGTGGGACCTTTACCAGGGCAAATTCGACGTCAAAGTTAAGCTGATAGAAAATTAGGGCGCTACAGTTCCACTTGCAGCAATGACCTCTGCTATAGGCATGTACTTGCGCCTTGGTCTTCCGGAACCTTGGGCTGCAACGACTACTCCTATCCCTTTAATAGTCTATGGCGCATCTGGTGCAGTTGTAAGTGTAGCTGGCTTGAAGAAACGCAATCATCATAGCTAATTCTTTATACAGGGAGCTTATGCGGTCAAGCTCGCTCGGGCGTCGAATATCCACCCAATCATCGCTGTTGCAGGAAAAGGTCAGAACTTCGTTGAATCGCTCATTGACAGAAGTAAGGGCGATACAATTGTCGATTACAGAAACGGGGACGATGCGGTGGTATCTGGTATGAAGGATGCACTGAAGAAGGCTGGAGTGAACGAGGTTCGTTACGCTTTTGACGCAATCAGCGAACACAACAGTTTTATGAACATTAGCCAAGTGCTGGCGAAGCAAGGAAGCAAGATCACTCTAGTTTTGCCATGGGGAGACTTTTCGGCAATTCCCGATTATATTAAGCAGGAAATAACTATGGTTGGCTGCGTCCACATGGATATAGAGGCAGAAAGTTCGGAGGGCAAGGCTGGCATCAAGACTGGGGCCAAGGATTTCGGTTATGTGTTCTTCCGACTCTTCTCCCGGGGACTCCAGGAAGGATGGCTTACAGCTCATCCATATGAAGTTGTTCCAGGCGGCCTGAATGGTTTGGAGACAGCGCTGTCGAACTTGAAGAATGGAGTGAACTCGGCTACTAAATACGTCTTCAAGATTGAGGATACTAAGTAAGGCATTAAGTCCTGATAGCAATTGAAGGAGCGATATTTGAAATCCTATATAAAGCTAGCGATGCTATAGGTATTCAAAGAATACCCTGCGTAAATCATGAGCCTGTAGAACCGTTTGAAGAATGAATATATCCACTCCACTCCCTTTCATCCTTGCTTGTTTTGTGAAACCTGCACCGCTTATTATTTAGACGCCGTTTTTTCTAAAACAAGCGCCTTGGGTGAAGCCAAGCGAAGTGCTTACAGCAAGTCATAAAAATAGTCGCGACAACGCGACGCTGTGATCAACTTGCCAGCAACAACCCGATGATGCACATCCACCATTTCTCTCGCCGCAACCATGAAATTCATTAAGCCCAGTTGGCTCACCCATTCCGGTAAGTCTAATTGAGTATTTGATCTCGATGGCACTCAGTCACAGCTCCAGAACACCTGGCTAACTTCTGCGCCTCGTCGCGCGCCAACGCCTAGGAGAACAGAAAGATTTCGAGGTCTATAGTTGTCACGTATCGCCGGATGGGAGCAGGCTCGCTACTGCGGCAGGAGGTAAGAGATCCATAGAAAAGAAATTGAGGGCGCAAGGGCTGATGGGGTGCTGCGACAGATGGCCATGTGCGAATATGGTCCACCGATGCCATTCTCCAGGCAGGAGATCCGAACTACTCCAAGCCCAAGCAGTTATGCCATATGAGCTATCATTCGGGGACGATTCACACTGTCAGGTTTTCCCCAAATGGACGTTGGCTGGCGTCGGGCGCAGATGACAAGATTATCTGCATTTACCATCTCGATACGAATCCGCCAGCGCATTCCGCTTCATTCGGTATGCGAGACTTGAAGCGATGCTATGAATCAAAAATAGTGGCTAATTGGCGAAATAGGAACAAATGAACCACCGCCCGTTGAGAATTGGAAAATCCTAAGGCGGTTGATTGGACACGAAAACGATGTACAGGATCTGGGTTGGTCCTACGATTCCTCGATACTGGTCTCCGTCGGCTTGGATTCGAAAATCGTAGTTTGGTCTGGGCATACATTCGAGAAACTGAAAGTGCTGTCTGTTCATCAAAGTCATGTTAAAGGCATTACATTCGACCCGGCGAATAAGTACTTTGCGACTGCCAGCGATGATCGCACAATCAAGCTCTTTCGTTTTACATCTCCGCCTCCTAATGCTACCTCCTACGACTCGATAAATAACTTTGTTCTCGAGCATACCATCGTTGCACCCTTTGCGTCGTCCCCTCTCACAACCTACTTCCGAAGGTGTTCTTGGTCGCCGGATGGAAATCACATTGCCGCAGCAAATGCGGTCAATGGACCTGTGAGCTCAGTCGCTATTATAAATCGAGGATTGTGGGATAGTGATATAAATCTTATTGGCCACGAAGGACCGACGGAAGTCTGCACGTTCTCTCCACGTTTGTTCAGCAGGCAGGAGTTCACCCCGGAAACTACAGATAATAGCGGTTACAGCACCCAAGCGCTGGTTACGGTTATCGCATGTGCTGGACAAGACAAAACTTTGAGTATTTGGAATACTAGTTCTTCGAGACCTTTGGTGGTATGTCAAGATTTGGCTGCGAAATCGATATCGGATCTTGCATGGACTACGGATGGCTTGACGATTTTTGCATCAAGTTTGGACGGCAGTATTATTGCTATTGAGTTTGAGCCAGGCGAGCTTGGTCATATTGCTCCCTGGTCGGAAAACGACAAGGCTTTGCAGAAATTTGGTGTTAATCGAAGGGGTGTTGGTGTTGTAGAAGATGTTGCTGCGCTGCTTCTTGAAGATAGAAGTAAGGCTGGAGAATTACGAGGAGCTGAGGGGCGAATGGGCGCGCTCATGGGAGATGTGGCATCGAATCCCCCACCTGTATTGAATGGAAATGGAAATGGAAATGGAGCTTCGACACCAATGGCCGGAATAGTTCCTTCTCAGCCGTTGATACCAAACGGACGCCCGGCGCAAGATTCACCCGCCCCAACACCTGCACCGGCTGAGGATATAAATTCTGCTAAACTGGATGCCATGAAGCAACGTGTGACTATTACAAAGGAGGGGAAGAAGAGAATTGCGCCACTGCTTGTTTCATCATCTGGCACGGGATTATCATCACTACCCCAGTCCCAGTTGATGGCAGCAAGTTCTAGCAACGCCCAGAACGACGCTCCGCATTCAATATTAGATCTGTCGAAGCCCTACGACGGCCTTCCAAGGGGAGGTTTATCAGCCATGTTGCTTGGAAACAAACGAAAGGCTGTTGTACTGGACGACGAGGAACTCGAGGACCAACCTAACAAACGACCTTCTATGGGACAATCTAATGGGCCCGTTCAGATTATGGTCAATGGAGTCAATGGTTTAGAGCCTGCGATCCCCGCCCCGCCCCAAAATGGAATCGTAGTGACCCCCGAGTTCATTCGACCGGCGGTCATCAACCCCGCTCTTTCTGTCAGCCAAGTGCGATTAGGGGTTCCTAAAGTACGAACACATATTTTAAGATCCCTTGATCGTGGTACTTTACCACCACCAAATCCTGGGACCAACGGTAATAACGGAGTAGAAGAGTCTTCGAAAGCCGTAGACGATGTTATTTTCGAAGCTCTGAACCCTGGTCCTAATCCAGCACAAATAAGAGATCCATCCAAAATCAGTGCGACAAAACGAGGCGTCACTCTATGGCAAGACTTTCTGCCTAGAGCAGTTATTCTCGTTACCGGAAACAAGAATTTCTGGGCGACTGCGTGCGAGGACGGAAGCATTTACACCTGGACTCCAGCTGGAAGAAGACTACTTAACGGTTTAATTCTAGAAGCGCAACCTGTCATAATTGAGTGCAGAGGGTGGTGGCTGCTTTGCATCACGGCAGTTGGCATGTGTTACGTCTGGAATCTCAAATCACTTTCAGCACCGCACCCCCCTGTGTCTCTTGCGCCGATATTGGACATTGCGATGCACTCTCTAGGTACACATACCACAAGTGGTCCGGGTGTAACATCTGCACACTTGAATTCCAACGGCCATATTATTGTCACGTTGAGCAATGGCGACGGATACCTTTACTCGCCAAAGATGTTCGTGTGGCAACGCTTATCAGAGGCTTGGTGGGCCGTCGGCAGTCAATACTGGAACTCGAACGACTCTTCGATCAGCAGCTTACAATCAACTGGTGTTGGTCCTGACTCACGACGCGATGGCGAGGTCACTACCTCGAATATTTCTGCTGGTATTATCCCCTACCTCGAGCGCCATACAACAAATGAAGTACTGCTCAAAGGAAGAGCGTACCATCTCCAACGTCTTATTAAGAGTCTGCTCGCTCGAGATGGTTTCGAAACTTTTGAATCTGGTGTTAGTATTGCTCATCTCGAAAACCGCGTTGCAGCAGCTCTGCAACTGGGTGCCAGAGACGAGTTCAGGATATATTTAGTCATGTATGCGAAGCGATTAGGTGCCCAAGGGCTGAAGACAAAGGTTGAGGAGCTTTTGCGGAGTATCATGGGTGGTATTCTCAAAGAAAAAGAAGGCCCAGACTCTGAGAAAGGCGAGGGCTGGCTCAGTGAAGATGAGGAGCTCTGTGGTTGGGATAGGAAGGAGCTCCTGAAAGAGGTTGTACTAATACTTGGTAAGTTTCCCTCGCGCATGCAGTTTGACTCAAGCTAACTTATATCCAGGGAAATTCAGAGACTTGCAGCGATTGACAGTCCAATATGCAAGAGTTCTTGGCCTCGAGGACGATGAAAACGGGGCTTGAGCTGTTGTGTACTTGCTCATTTTGCGATGGCGTTTTAGGTATTTGGGGTGTCGCCAGTACAGGGCATAAGGAATTCCGGATTCAGACACCAATGTATCAATGTATATCAAGAAATTTTGTGCCATAGCTCATAAAAAAAAGTGAGCTCTTCTCCTGAAGCCTGCGTCTTATCAAGTACGCCATTCAGGTGCAAGAACTTGTTACATAAATCAGCGAACTTCTCATCGAAACTAGGTAAGTACTCGGATTTCTGCTTTACCGTTTCCTTCCGTAGCAAGTGCGATAGGGGAAAATAGAGGAAACAAGCTCGATATCTTCAGATGAACGCCTTGGTACCTCTTTCCTCGACAGGTATTAGCTGATTCGTACCTTCCGTTTCCATCGTCAACTCAACAAATTCTGGTCGTGTCCCATTCTCAAGACGCAATGCACCCGACGTTCTTGGTACGAACATTTCAAACATGCCAGAACGAAACTTTAGGTCGTTCAGCGGCCGTTCCTTTCTTTCCTATACGCCCATCCGCTCCATCTCCTCTGGCAGCAGCAAATGGTCTTCCCTTAGTCCTTCCACAGATTCGACAGCATCCTGGCCCACGCCTTCGAAATCACTGAAGGGAAACTCGAGGTGTCCTCGCATATTTTCTGTACCCGGGTTCGCTTCCATTCGGCAGCAGTAAGTTCACATGTGACTTACAGTGACGGGTCATTCCTGACAACCTGGCAGTGCATCTCCCAAACAAATTGCCTTCGTCCTCGCCGGCATTGCCTTTCTGCTTGTGCTCCTGCTACCAGCCCATACGAGCCAACGCTCCTCTATAGCAGACGTCCATTCCCTAGGTGGCTCCCAACCAATTCGTGCCTACTTTCCCGAAGATGCCAATAAGAAAGGACCGGATCCAATACGATGGCTTGAACAGAACTCTAACAACAAATATGCTGTATCGAAGGGTCTTCCTGCTCCCTCGTTGGGTTGGAATAGAAGGCCGAAGGCGGCGTTGATTAGTCTAGTGCGGAATTCGGAGCTGGAGGGTATAATGCAGAGTATGCGACAATTGGAGTTTAGGTGGAATAGGAAGTATCAGGTAAGTTGAGACATTGTTACTGAAGAAACCGCTAATTTTGGCAGTACCCATGGATCTTCTTCAATGACGAGCCGTTCACAGAAGAATTCAAAGCCGCGACCAAGAAACTTACATCTGCGAAATGCTACTATGAAGTTGTTCCGAAAGAACATTGGTCACTTCCTGACTGGATTGATCAGGGGAGATTCATGAATAGTCTAGAGTATCTCGGAACTATTGGTGTCGGGAAAGGGTGGCTGGTCAGCTATCATCACATGTGCCGCTGGAACAGTGGGTTCTTTTACAAGCACCCCTTTCTGAAGAATTATGATTTCTATTGGAGGGTTGAGCCAGATGTAATTGTTCCATCCCCAATCTCCACCACAAGCTGATACATTTCCAGGTGCACTATTTCTGCGACATCGACTACGATGTCTTCCGCTTCATGCGGGACAATAATCTCAATTATGGCTTTAATATGAATATCCTCGACGATGCTCGCTCGTTTCCCTCCCTCTGGACTCGTACCCGCAACTTCGCAGCCACTCACCCACATCTCATCCATCCTGAAGCAGACCTAGGCTGGCTGCTTGACCCATCAAATGGCGGAGAATATAACAGCTGTCAATTTTTCTCCAACTTCGAGATCGGCTCTCTGAATTTCTGGCGCGACGAAGCGAACGAAGCGTACTTTGACTGGCTTGACAAAGCGGGCGGCTTCTACTATGAGCGCTTCGGTGATGCTCCAGTCCATACTCTGAGTGTTTCAATGTTTCTCCCCAAGAGGGAGATTTGGTATTTCAGGGATATTGGGTATCAACACGATATAAATCATCATTGTCCCCCGCATCGAGAGGGGAAGTGTAGTTGTGAACCAACGAGGATAGATGAAAATTTCTATAGACTTGTTCCGTCGGAGAGCACGCAGAGGAAGCCGAGTGATACCTGTATTAGGCAGTTCCTTGGAGGTGAGTGGTTGAAGAAGAAGGAGGGTTGGACGATGTTGGGAGAGAAGGCTTTTGGTGGGGATGGATATCATGGGTATGAGCTTGTTGGAGATGAGTGAGAACTAGGCATGTATTGAACAGTTCCACAGGTCCAGATATATGCTTCATTTGATTACTTAAGAGCGATATACCAGACCCTCAATACTAGCTGTGAGGCTCGAACAGAGACTTATATCAGGGTGACTCAGCTCAAGATAGGGGCAACGTTATAGAATTGCTACGCTTTTCATCTCGAGTAAAGATTAGCATACCTTACTCAAGTATAGTCGTTATGCTTCCACCAGGTCCCATTTCCGCATACGACTGCGACCCAGAGCCACTCCTGACCGCCTGGTGTTACTTATATATACAGCTACGGCTAAGATTCACTTCTCACCGCCCAGGTTCACAGACCCCAATGTAACCCAAGATAAGCAAAAGCTCGTCAACAAATACATGGGCGGCCACTTGGCTTGGTGGTTCAGGTCAAAGTGTATTCCTTGTGTGAAGGAAGTCTGGGCTTCGACTTTAAGCTAAAAAATTCGACAATGCAAGGGAGCTTAACTTGCAGATCGCCATTTCTCTCTCTCTTCTGGTCAATTGATCGATCGATAAAAAAACCAACCTCTTGGAGGGCGGGTTTCTAGTCAGACTAGCGCTTCGGCGGTGGTCTTGGATAGTTTTGTCGGTTTGGTTGGTGGATGTTCTTTGTTGTGTTTTTTGCGGGGGTGCTAAGGGGAAGTTGGGGACGGAGTATATAAGTTCAAATAGCAAAAGCATTTAGTAAACAGATCAATTAAACATTGGTTTGCGGGGTGCCTTCAGCAAGGAGGATGAGGCCCGAGGGAGCAACGGATATTCACTAATGGAAAAGAACTCCAAATGAGGACATCTTTTTTGGTAAGATTGCTTCGTTTATCTATATATAATTTTCAGGTTCTGTTTATACAGAATACCTTTTTATCAAGTAAATGATAAACAGCTCACGAACTTTTAGGGGTAGAGAGGCGAGAAGGGGAAGGAGGGATGCTATTCATCAATGGGCCAAGACTTTGTGGTCTTGGATTTATATTGATAGTTACCTAGATAGGTCATAGATGGAGAATGAGGGATATCATACAAGTGAAGATATTCCATGCTGACTTCAAACAATATGAAGACTCGTGTCAACTAACCCCCAATGTCGGTTTCGCATACTGACTTCCACGTATATATGATTTCTTCTAGAGAGCAGCTTTTCGTCGACAACTTGATGGTATTCACCAATGCACTCGCTAGCAGGCATGCAGGCAGGTATAATTGTCTTAAGAAGAGCCCTATCATGTCATATTTCTATTGCCCCAAGCACTATGGACGCCAGCCGGTTCGGAGTGGATAATTCCCTCCAAGCTTCCTTGACTAGAAATCTAATTCCTAACCATGAATTCCATCTCGCTAAAAGACAATCCGCAACTGATACCCCGTTTAACACCAGTTCCAGTCTTAATGCTACACTAACTAACATACATGTTTCCACTTCTTCCCCTCGCAAATTTTCTCCTCTGTCAACACCCTTATTTATGAATAAGATCCATATTCTGTATCGGCCACGGCCGCATAAAAACATCCGAAGGCCTCGGATGAGGATCAACCTCTTCAATCTCATACTTATATTTATCCAAATCAAGCGTCACAGAAGGCTTCCCAACACCCCACCCAGACATCCCCCCACGCCTCCCCAATAAACATCCCCGGGTGGAAAGCAGTCATCAGCAGAGTCGCAAGAAGCATCATCCCGCCTTCCAGAACCATGAACGCTACCTCGTTATTCGCGAGCCGCGACTTGAAGCCGTTTGCTAGCTCCGCGACGCGGAATATGGAGCGCGTGAGAATGAGGAGCGTTGCGAGGATGAATGCTGGGTGGAAGTTAGTTTGTGAGAAGCAGGCAGGACAGAAGGAGGCGGGGGCATACCAGCGAGGAAGAACTTGAATCCCCTTGCATCAGGCGGTGCTTCTTCGAGGCTTTGCTTCGCCCAATTCGTGGCACGAAGGACCCTCCTATCTCTGCGCACATTCCATAGAAACTCCCCGACGAGGCCTATGAAGACCGTCAAAGATATGACCTGAAAAGCTAGACCAGCTACCATGACATTGGTACCCATCTTCGCGCTCGCAAGTGTCGATGCTGTATCTGCTAGGGCGCCGCCCACGGCTTGCAGAACTAGAGCGATAGAATCGGCTGCGATGAAGGCGAGCGTGTATTGCTTGGGCGTGATGCGGGAATTGTGCGATCCGTAGTGCATGATAATGCGAGAAAGAGTGAGATACAGCGCTGCTGTGAAGAACACGGGAGCGATTGTCAGGCAGATGATATTTCTACCGCTCACATTAGCACGAAATCCCCTCTTCTTTTTGCAGAGTATTTTGGAAAACCTACATCAAGAAAGGACCGGAGGCAAATAGCACAAAGTGCATTTGCACACGAGCACAATACCCCACGATCTCGAGAATCAATCCACAGCTCATAGCGACCGTGAAGCTATGCGTGCGATAGAAACCCCAGAAGATAATTTGAGCCACCAGGAGAACCCCGAAAATCGACGTCAGGGCAAGGTTGCCAGCGTACGTTGGAACATATTTCAGCACCGCGTAATCGAGAGAACACAGCTCTGGAGTGCATTGTGAGAGCAAGGTGACGCTGGGATTTATGCCAGGTAGACCAGTTACATTGACAGACATGATGATAGATACCCTTTCCTCCACAATATCGACAAGTGAAATGAGTGTGAGTTGTTTATAGCATAGAAAAGGAGCGTGAGATGATTCGAAAATCAATTGATTGATTGAACTTTCAATCCGGGGATGTCATGGGAAAGGAAATATACTTATGGGATTCTGGCCGCCAACGGCGTTGGGTATAACACAGGGAAAGGAAGAAACAAAGGATTTGTTCGACGTTGGGGGTGCATGAGGCTGAGTTGCGATCCTGCGAATTGCTTAGCGAAACGACTCCTGCGGTGTCATTCGTCGAGTTCAGCCCTGATGGATCAACGATCTGCTGAAAATAGTTCTCTGGGATCTCAGGCGGGGCTTAAACTTGCACAAGCTTGTTTGAATGTAAGATTGTGGGGTTGTCGTTTCATTGATCGTCTGGCTAGAATGCTTAATTGCCGCTTGGACAGCTTCCACGGCATTTGCCCAGAGGTCAAAAAGAGCTAACTGCACGTTGTCGCTTTGCATCAATGGTCATCCTAGTCTTTGGACGCCAAAAATTGTTGACTGCATCATTGCAGTAAAGCGTTGGTAGAAAATCGCTGGAATATCTGGGAACTCACTATCAATCACTACGTACCCAGTGACAGCGATGCTTCGGGCCTGGTGGATGAGAGGGATGGGAGCTACCCAATGCAACACATGTATGTAGGTATCGCAAGTTCTATTATACAGTCGACGATGCGTTCTAGATCCAAGCGAACAAATGCAGCTCGTGTACTCGCTGGTACGTATATGTACATCTCTCTATGCGCCGAACTTTGACTCCTTGTATGGGTATCTGACCTCGTCGTCCTTCCTCAACCACATCTGCTTCTTCTTTTTGGATGGCACATGCTCCACCCAGACCTGCTTCGCTTTATCCTTCATGAACTTGCGTATAAATCTGGGGTCCCATAGCTCGCTGGCTACTCCTAGGTCTTTGCAGCATCGCATCAGGGCATTTGACTTGCAGCCTTCGGTGGCGGTAGGAATGCCCTCGGGGGAAAAGTAATCTTGTTCGCCTCGTGCTACGGATACTAACCTGCAGATCGAATAGCTGATTAGTCCCCGACCTGGTTCAAACAGTACATACAACAGAACTAAACTTACCTTCCATGTGCGACGAGTGCGTATTCTCTAGTGATGCTCTTTGGGGTAACAATTGTCTCCCCTCTTGGTGCCAAACCCCAGCCTCCTGGTCCAAACGACCTGTTCAATATCCTCCTGTACTTGATCTCGGGCAAATATATAATCCCATCTGGTTTGACTTCCACATCATCGAAAGGTATAGGCGCGAGCAGCACATCCGCAGCCTCCTTTGAGAAAGGCTGGCTTGACAGTCCGTGAAACGACCGAGTCCAGTCCACCTGTCTGACCCCTTCGTCGAGAATGAGAGGCTCATCTGCCAGGCCGCTGCTCATATCTTTGATTGGCGATTGATCATCTATGGACGCTGGCTTCGCAGCAGGTTTCGGTGCAGGAGGTGGAGGTGGTGGAGACTTCGTCGCATCGTTGGTCTTGCGGGCATATGGAGCCGCCGCATATCTCGATGTTGAGGAGAATGGTCTATGAAGGCATTGCGAGGCCGTCGGTCGGGAAATACTCGATCTTAATAGCCTTGATTGTACTGAAGACGCTTCTGATAGCCCAGAGCGTGCAGCTCTTGGAATTAGAGTTGCCATGGTTGATGTTGGACGGAGGTTGCACGCGAAGGTCGCGCGATGTCTTCAAATATCGCGCTGGAATCTTGGCGACAATATTTGGGGAGAGAGAAAAAAAGCATCAAATATATTCCAAATCATAAAACGCAAAGAAGGGGTTTGACCATGGATAGTAAATAGAGGAGATGTTATATTGATGTTTCTACAGTTTGTTGGTATAATTGACCCAAGGGCCCTCTCTTCGTAAACTCCATGATCACAAGATTTTCGCCACCAATCACACATCTTTCATTCCCGTCCTTTGATCATTCTGATGCTGCTTCCAACACTTCCTGAAAACCTCCAGCTATAGAGAAAAGACGAACGTCAGCCTGCGATTCATTCCCCATGGTTGACTGGCACACGTGATGTCAAAGGCTAAAGCTAAAACCTCAAAAAGGCTGATTTCCTCACCTCGTTCTTGCATAACCTCCAGTCCTTCTTGTCATAATAGCAATCGTTCATCTTGGTATTCTCCGCTGTATAGATTGTAAGAAAACGAATCTGGAAGATCGAAGCTCGGCATTATCCACTTACCCGCACAGCCGGTACTGAAGATCCGCTTGTCCCTGCATGAAGCCAGTTGATTAGTGTGTTGGGACTTGGGTCGTTGGGATCAGTCTTCTCACCAGTCATCAGGCTCATCATCATCTTCAATTGCTGCCACCTGCTTCGAATCGCTCTCTGATTTCGACATTGCTTGGATTTTGGATATTTAAAAGAATCGTAAGGTGTCGGAAGGGTCGGATTTCTCGGCTGATACCCGGCCAAGCAATCGTCAACATGGTGACCAGAAGAATGAATGTTTTGGTCTATTCTGGTATGTGGCCTCAATTACAAGTAGGAAAAAAACTATTGTTGACGCTCAAAACAGGCAATGGAAGTACTATCGAGTCTGTTAGGCACTGCTTGTATACACTTCGTCGTTTGCTAGCACCAAATTATGCAGTCATTCCCGTGACAGATACTGTTATTCTTAAGGAGCCTTGGACGTCTTCTTGTGCCCTTCTGGTTTTCCCTGGGGGTGCCGATCTAGGATATTGTCGGTCTTTGAATGGCGAAGGCAATCGGCGAATTGAGCAATACGTCCGTCGAGGTGGCGCTTATCTTGGATTTTGTGCCGGAGCCTACTATGCGAGTTCACGGTGCGAATTTGAGGTCGGAAATGGGAAACTTGAGGTTGTTGGACCTCGAGAGCTATCCTTCTTTCCGGGAACTTGTCGAGGCTGTGCATTCAAGGGCTTCATTTATCACAGTGAAGCTGGAGCCAAAGCAGTGGAGCTGAAGGTCATCAAAGAAGCATTTAAGACTGGGATATTGCCACAAAATTTTCGGTCCTATTACAATGGTGGTGGCCTTTTTGTGGACGCGGGCAAATTTGCAGATAAAGGTGTTGAGATTTTGGCAACGTATGCGGATCAGACTGATGTGGAAGGAGGGGATCGACCTGCCGCAGTTGTATATTGTAAAGTTGGCGAGGGCGGGGCATTATTGACAGGTCCTCACCCAGAGTAAGCTCCCCCGCCAGTGTCAAATTACCCACTAACGAACGATTTGATTAGATTCGCTGCGGTAAACCTCGATCCCAACTCTGATGGGCCAGGATATCCAAAAGTTGTCAAGGCAATGGCTGAGGACGATGAATCTCGAGTGAACTTTCTAAAAGGATGTTTAGCAAAGTTAGGGCTTGTGATTAGTCAGGAGACATCTTCGGTACCTTCCCTCTCTCGCCTTCATCTCTCATCACAGCATCACTTTTCCATCTCAGAATTACTGGCATCATGGGAAAGCATCATCAGCAAGGAAGATGGTGAAGAATACATCCGAGCAGAGCATGACACTTTCCATCTTGAGAAGCAAAGTTCACGATGGTCACTAGGGTCCCTTGTTAAATCACTTCCTTTGCCTAGAGTGTCTAGGGAAGGTGAGGAGCATGTGGCTGACCAAACGGCCGATGCGGTGTCGGTTGACAGAATAGTCGATTATAGTACCATCCCCAAGCGCATCATCCCACACGAGACAGAATGGCCAGGAACAAAGGAGACGCCCTATTTCAATCATCACTCATTTTATGCAAATTTGCAACGGTATCAACGGGAGGGAACTGGGGAGGCCGAGGAATTTGGGAACACCTTACTTTACGGAGAGGTTGTGACCAGCACCAATACTTTATTAGACAAGTAGGTACTAAAAGGTTCTCTTGAAGGAATGATGCTGACTAGAAGAAGGAATGCAAAGCTTCTCGCCCACCTCCCCACGGGCTTTACTTGTACAGCTACTACACAAGTTGCTGGTCGTGGCCGTGGCTCGAATGTTTGGGTTTCGCCGGCTGGATCATTGGTCTTTTCAGTCTGCATGAAGCACCCAATGGCGCTGAACCCTACCGCACCTGTTGTCTTCATACAGTACCTGGCAGCTATAGCCATCGTCGAGGGCATCAAATCATATGACAAGGGATACAAGAACGTACCAGTAAAACTGAAGTGGCCGAATGACATATGTAAGTTCGACGGTCTGAGGAAAGAGTCCAGCTAACCCAACCAGACGCACGAGATCCTTCGAAACCTGGCAAAAAAGAATATGTCAAGATTGGCGGAATCCTCGTCAACTCATCTTACTCAGCTGGAAACTACGACCTCGTCGTTGGAATAGGCCTCAACACCACCAACGCAGCCCCAACCACATCTCTCAACGCTCTTCTCCCAGCTGGTCTCACACCTTTCACCCTCGAGAAGCTCCTTGCCCGAATCTTGACCAAGTTCGAAACCATCTACAAGAGCTTCTGCAGAACAGGCTTCGATCGCAAACTCGAACAAACCTACTATGACAACTGGCTTCACACAGACCAGATCGTCACCCTTGAAGCGCAAGGCGGAGCGAGAGCTAGGATCAAGGGCATTACGAGGACTTGGGGTATGTTGCTTGCTGAAGAGCTGGGATGGGAGGATCGCCCGACTGGTAAGGTTTGGGAATTGCAGAGTGACAGTAATAGCTTTGACTTCTTCAAAGGCCTGTTGAAGAAAAAAGCTTGAGAAGAGGTACTGTACATGTTTTGATTGTTTGAGACAAAAGTCCGGATAGATTTCCCAATAGACAAAGCGGCTCAGGCCGATCAACTTGACCTTGAAATCTTGCTTTTCATTTCAAACTGGTTTAGCAACGGCTGCTGTGCCACCAAAGCTGTACTACATTGCAACTCTTGTTTGCAGTACACCGTGAACTTTGCTTTGCAGGGGCATGAATACCCGATCTCATTGGTCTTGCGTGTGTGTGACAGTGTATTCATTCGTTCCAATTTGTGGTTCCAGCTCATCGCTCATCTTGCACTGTGAAAATGACTTGCTTCATGCATCATGTGATATTATTTCGTTTTATTTGCTTGATGACTCCTGGCCGAAGATACAATATAACAGTTGAAACAAGATGTCTACTCCAAAGCCTTGGATCCATGTTTCAAACGCCAAGCGGCGTCTTTCGTGACAGTCTCCTCTCTCACCTGGACCCTCTTCGTCCTTCTCTCTATCTTAGGACCATAAGAAGAAGAAGAAGAAGTCCCCCTCTTCCGCCCCTCCACCCCCCTGTCCGGCAAACTCCCAACCACGCACCCCCCACCTCCCCACGCAGCCCCCGCAGCAGCCTCCCAAGTCTTGCTCACATCCAACACCATATCCCTCGTATACCACAACCTACAATCAGCCACCTGCCTCACAAACTGCGCCGGCAGCCCGTCCGCGACATGCTCCGGCAAGATGACGTCGCGGATATTCGCGCCCGCCTGGCTGCTGTATATCAAGGGCGTCGTGTCCGGCCGGTGCGCTTGGATGAACAGGTAGTCCGGGTCCGGGTACTGCACTAATTGCATCTCGCGGTTGCTCTGCTGGTACAGATCTGTCCATGTTGCGAGCAGCCCGCCGCGCACGCCGCCGACGCCTTGCATG